TTTCAGTGTTTGCTGCCTGAAGAACTGGTGAGCTGCTCTGGGCAAACAGCTGAGCCCTCACAACTGTGCCAGCCTAAAGCCCTTGAGACCACAGAGTGGTTGAGGCCACTTCTGAAGGTCATCTTGTCCACCACCCCCCGCTCAAGCACAGGGGACACCCAAACCCAGTTGCCCTGTACCGTGTCATGACACCTTTTCAGTATCTCCAAGAATGGAGACTCCACAGCCGTATGGTCATGATCCTTGAATAATAACCAGCATTTGAGACCCTTTTCCCTTGGGGGCCTTGCCCCGTGGGACTCTTCCAAGCATATGTTTGAAGAGTCCAGAATCTGCTTACCTGAAGTTGAGGGTTGTGAGCTTGCTTCTTGCCTGCCTTCTTGCGCTTGGGATCCTGAACTCCATTATTCCATGGTCACCACAGCCAAGACAGCCTTTGACTTCCACATACCCCACAAAATGGTCACCACAGCCAAGACAGCCTTTGACTTCCACATACCCCACAAACCCCTTTTTGTAGGAGGGTATGAGGTCCAGCAGAACATCTCTTTAGCTTCTCTGTCGCTCAAGTCAGGCAGGTGTCATCAGTGTACTCCAAAAACCTCCTGGGTTGCTTATCCTCTGCTGTGTTGTCCTTCCTGCTTATGTCAGGTTGGTTGAAGTCTCCCATGAGGGCCAGCATCTGCAAGCATGGGGCAGCTTCCAGCTATCTGTAGAAGGCCTGATCTACTTGTTTATCCACCCAAAAGTGTCATCCTTACCCATTTTTCTCTTTAATCTTCACCCATGTGCTCTCACTTGGCTCAACATCCATCCACACATATCTCCACACATTACAGCTGTTCTCTCATACCAAAGGAAGCTCCACTATCTTCTTTGCAGCATGTCATCTTCCTAGAGCCTTTAGCCCTCCACTGCAACACTGGAAGTCATGGGAGCCATCCCACCACATGCAATTCCCACAAAACTGTAGTCTTTCAGCTGCACACAGGCCTCTCACCATGTTTATTTTCCACACTGTGTTCATAAGCATACATGAACTTCAGAGCAGCACTCCAACACACTTCCCAGGAGATGGGTTTGGGGGGATTTCTCCATAATGGTACCTCATAGGCGTATCACTTCTTACAACGTGTGGATGCTGCCAGTGACTCCATTCAAGCCATGGTTTTTGTTGATTTTGTGATCCCTTCTTGTCGTACCACCCCAGACCCTTTGCTCATCAAGCCTCTTCATCATTCTCACAGGGCTCCTGGTAACTCTGTCACTGCCCTGTCACACCTAGTTTGAAGCCCTCCTTAGAAGGTCAGCCATACTACTAGCAGAGATAACTTTGCTCAGCTTAGTGAGGTGGATAACATCCCTCTCAAGCAGATGCTGCTCCACAAGGTCATAGAACCCAAAATCCCGTCACCAACAGCAGTTCTGCAGCCAACTGATTGACCAGCACCAAGGCCCCCAAGAGTGTCACCCTCTGTAGTCACTTGCCACTCTCTAGGTTGCCCCAATGATGTCTGTATGCAAGAACAGCAAGGGTAGCTGTCAGAAAGTTGGACAAGCCCTGGCAGCCCCTCCACAACACCCCAGATCTGGGTCCACAGCACACAACAAACTTCTCTAGTAGATAGGTCAGGTTGGCAGGTATCCCCTGCATCAAGGGATCACCCATTACCATCCTTCACACCTTCCTCCTAGAGGTTTTGGGTGGTTTAGGGTCAGGTAGCTTAAAGGCACATCTGGCTCCTCTAGAACAAGTATGGTGAGCCTGTTCTGTAGTTATAAAGCCCTAGGTGGTGCAGGGTTTTGTTTCCATCTAAGGCCAGGAATAACCCATTTTCATCCTTCTTCAGAGGTTTCACTTACCTTGATGTGATGGGGTGGCCACCACCTGCTTCTCTATTGTAAAGGGAGGCTGAGGCTCTTCAAGCTGCTGAGTCCCAGAGAAGGTCCTGTCGATATCCAAAAAAACTTCTGTGATACTGCACAGCTGTTTCCTCCTATAGCTGCTTCACTTGGCACCACAGTTGTTCTAAGGTAACATACCTCCTGCAGCCCAGAGTGCCATCTCTCCCAGTCTCTGAGAGAAGCCCTGGGCACTCCCTCCAGCCTGGGGCTAGGAGAACTGTGCCCGTCATCCAATATTCTGTCAGCACCAAAACATCTAACCTTGCAGGGGCAACTGCTCCAGCATCTGCTGGGAAACTGCCCCATAGTATGCTACCACCGTATCTGAGACCACTTGCACAGGAAACAGACCCTGCTGAGTCCCCCCTCATCCCAGCCTCCTACAAAAACTTCTGCATCTGGTGGTACCTTGGGCCTGACTCTTACATAGACCTCACCCAAGCACTGACTAAGGGGTGCTTGACTCTCCCTAACTAGGAGGCAGCTGCATCCAGGATCAAGGACAGCTGATCATGCTTGTTAGAAGCTGCTAGAACTCCCTCAGGCCCATGGTCTTGTGGTTCCACATACCTTGTTCTCTTCTAGTGGCAGCAGCTCCCTCAAATTTCTCGCAGGGTTCCCAGCTGTTCCCCAGTGATCCTGGACCTTGTCCTCAACAGATCCAGAAGGTCCCCAGGCAGAACCCAGAGACTGCTGCACAAACCTGGGTTGGTCGCTTCAGGGAGCTGTGCTTGTTCCTTTGCCAGCAGTGTACAGAGTTTGGTACAGGGCTCAGCTGTTGCTTTCTTGGATTTCCCCATTATTTAGGTTGGAAGCAGCAAACACTCACTTGTCATTGCTTTATACCTGTCTCATGCTTCAGTTCTTAACAAGGAGGTGGCACCATCTTCTTCGCATATGACTGCAAGTTGTCCCATATGAGGGCTGCTTACCCTTGATGTGATACCCCAGTGCACACAATCGAGGCTCGCATTCCTGACTTGCCAGCACGGTGGTTTCTGGGCATTGAGAGCTGTGTGCAGACTACTGGCAGGGCCCATTCCTACCAAAATGTTAGCTCAAGTCCCTTGGGTGATCTTAATGTTGTGAAGAGAGGCATCTTGCATGAGTATCAGGAGCCAGATGATGAGTGTTGAAAGAGTATAAAATGTAGGCATTTCTTTTGCAAGTGTTCATAAGAAGGCATAGAGGGGTTTTGGTTTGCAAGTGGTTTGTTTTTGCTTAGTTTAATCCATGCAAGCAAACAGCCTCCATCAGTTAATAACTTTCCCTTTGATATTTAGGTTCAAATAAACCAGAATCTCGAAGCAGAACTCCGTAATTATACTGAGTTTCATCTCCTCTGCATCAAACACGTTGTACAGCTGGAGCTGGTCTTCTAGGGCTGGATTCCGAGTTTACCTTTTATCCACAGTTTACTTGGTTTGTTGCCACATGCTGCCTCAAAGCTGGGATTGAACCAGCTCATTTGCATCACTCCCGAGCTATGCCATGGAAAATTTAAGCCCTGTTAGTGACAAAAGGCCTTCCTGGGCAAATGCTGCTTGGGTGGATTGATCTTGGCAGTTGCCAGAGACAACAAGGGAATGCAAACCTGCTCTCCATTTCCAACCAGAGACAAGGGGGTAGGGCAGGCATGGGTTTGGAAGCACACCAGGAGGGAAGAATGGTGACATTGTCTGAAAGTTTGCTCAGTTCATCTTCTACCTTGTTTTTTACAAGTCCCTACTTTGGAACATGTCATTTAAGATTCTCTGAAATAGCAAAGCCCTGGTGTCAGTCAGGAGAGGCTCGGGGAATGAAGCAGAGCTTTCTTAGAACTACCCTGGATTGTGGTCCCTGGGTGTAGGAGAGAGCAGGCTGGGCAGCAGGCATAGATTTTAAGTGGTGGTTGCTGTAAAAAAAAGAAGAGCTCTGGCTTGAACATGCAGAAACCCCCTGAGTGACAACTGTCAGACAGCAGCTTTATAGTACTGCCATCACCAATGGCTCTGTGGCACCCTCCCTCCTATTTAAAAATGTCCTTGTATAGGCCTTTTATTTTTTGTCTTTCCCTGATTATTCCCCCTGTTTTCTTGATTTATTTTTTTGCAACCCTTAGGGAATACCATGAAGAACAGAAACTGTTTTTATATTTTCTACAGCATTGCTTTACGAGCCTCAGGGTGTTCATGGTGCTGTCACAAATTCCATCTGAGCTTTCCTTTTTGAACAGAATAGAAACAGAAGATGGTGGTGGTCAGAGTGCACTGCTGCTGGTCCAGGCCTCTCCAGAGGGTTCCTGCTCTTTCTCCAGAGCTGTTGAATAGGCCCTGGGATTTCTCTGTTCCAAAACAGACTCAAAACCACCTCCCTTCCCTCCCATCAAAATATTGTTCAGTGTTGTTTTTTTGCAGTTGCAGACCCATGTCTTTAACTGGCAGGCTTCTTTAAAATGTTTGGAAAAATCCTTCATTTTGGAAAACAGGCACTAAAATGAGGTCAACTTTATTTGCACTCCCAGGAAAAATCTGGTTGGAGGAGAAGTGGCAAGTTTGTGATGTACATGAGCCTGCCTGAGTGATGCTGCCAAAATACCTCACAGACTTGCCTTTGTAGCAGGTTGTGGGAGTTAGCTGGGAGTGAGTCACACAGACAAGTGGCAAGGGCCTTCTTCATTCCCCAGCCTGAAAAATTACCTCTTTCCAAGTTTAGGTCTGTGAGCTGGCTTATACACAAAGCAAACATGCTGCTTATTAAAGGTGCCAGTATCACACACGTACCCGTGGCATGTTTATGTTTGATACTAATGTATTTCTCATGGGGGAATGCATTCTTAGTGTGTGTTAGTATTCATTCCATAGAAGTCAGTTCATTGCTTCAAATACATGTGCTTATTTAGATGGTGAAATTTGAAACTGTATTCCCAAACATCTTTTTTCCCATTTAACTTCATTTAACTTCAAAAAGGTCATTCATATACTGCCTCACAACTCTGTCGAGCTATTTCCACTAAAGGGCTGCAGCAAGATTTACTCTCTACAACTCAAACCAGTTGATTTTAGCTCTTGCTGGTCCTCCACTTAATAGCTATCACATCAGGCTTTGCTTTGGCAGGTTGGAAAGATAGAGAAGTAGATACTGATGTCCAGTAATGAGGCACCCATGGGAAATTTTACTCTCTAAACTACAGAAACATCCTCTTAAAACTATTATGTGGCACAGACATAATGTAAAATTGTCAAGTGGTTGATGCCTGCTGTTTTTTTTCTTCTCAGATGGAAGCAACACCACTGTAGGTATTTCCCTTTGGCATAGGTTTCCAGACTGCTTTACTGACATGGGGTGAGGAAAGAGTTAAGCTAAGAGAAAGCCCCAGCTACTAAAATTAACATCCATCCCCATTCCCTCCCCCTCCCCTCCCCCCAGCTTTGAAATCTCTAATCACAACTTGCACTTAGACAATTTCTTCTATCAGTGCAAACTGTGTTTTGATCATGTGAAATCACAGATGGCTGGCTGGAGCTTGGACGAATTCAGTCTCCTTCCTCCCTTCCTCCTGCTTTGCCTGCCCGCCTCCCCCCCCCCCCAAAAAGTCTGCTTTCAGGTCTGTTAAGATTGTATTATTGCTTGCTAAAGCTGAAAATACTTACAAGGTCTGCAGAAATGTGTGTAGTGGTTAAGCTCTGTTGGGACTGCCCCTTTTGTTCAGGATACCCACCTGGGCTTGTGCACAAAATCAGGATAGCAGGGAAAAATCAGCAACAGTCTTAGGAGCGTGTGGATAATTCCTGTAACGCATCTTTTGTCAGCAAGAGGCAAATTTAATGTTAGTGTGAACTATTACAAAGCCAAAAAAACACCTCAAATGAAAATATAGACTATTTTGCACACCCACCCAACCAAAAAGTCTGGGTAGCTGTCTGCCCCAATTACTCCAAACATGAAACTGCTTTTGAAAACCGTACCCTGCAGCATTCAGCAGTGTAAAACTTCTCTAAGGAAACTTGAAAGTATCTCTTTAAGTAAAGTTAGCTATAAGCTCGGATCAAAAAGAGAGATCTTTATGAGATGGGTTACATTTTATGGGCTGAATTGGGGTATTATTAGTGGATAAGCAGGTGATGTTTAATTCTTCTCACAGGTGAAAACCTCACAGCAACGTTTTGACTGTAATTTCGGAGCAGGATCCAACCTGCAGCTAGTGACCTTGCTCCTAGGAGTCAACATGTTGACTTGGCTCACGTCTCATTTACTAACTTTCCAACTGTTGGACATGGCTTTTCTGCTGTGCTTGGGTTTTATCATCTCCATCTGAGCAGAGAGAAGAGAGTTTGGTCTCTCCACAGTCTTCAACTGACTTCCAAGGGCTCTATTTTAGGAAGCTGTTGATGTGCATTTATGTGATTAAGAGCTATGTAAATTTAGATGCAAACTGGTTTCAGCCCTCGGGGTGCTCAGTGTGTTGCCTGGCATGCTTCTGGTGCTGGAAAAGTCTGCGCACCACTGTTGCTGCAAGGGAAACTTCCAAGCGTGTCATTCCCCTTCTTTTTTTCCTTATAAAGGTTATTATGCCTCAGCCCCCATTGAATCACCTCCTCAGTTCAGAAAGGAAAGGTTATTTTTCCCACTCCTTTCCCCTTGGCAACTCAGAACAGTTGCCATTACTGCTTACTAAAAATGTCCCTTGCAGGGCCACTGGTATGTCAGGGTGCTCCAGGGCTCTCTCCGGGGGCCACTGACCTGCCAAGGCAGTACTGGGCCAACCTAAAAAGGCACTAGGGTAAGAAAAAGATCTTTTGTGGGCCCAGAGGCCTATGAAACCCATTTGTGTTGTAAATACAGTGGGAAAGTTTGTCAGTCACAACAGGAAAAGAATGTGCCCAAGGATGCTTGCTTCAGCCTGAAAATTTTCATGTGTTTTCTCCGGTGATTTGAGGGGTGGCTAATTTTTCTTTCCTGCAAAACCAAGAAAGGACCGTCAATATTTCATATTAGGAGACATGGTCAGGCTAAATATAGCTACTGCTTTCTTTCTGACAAGCATGCAGCGAGAAGCTCGCTGTCTCCGGCTCTTGGAGCTCAGCTCTGGTCCCCAGCTTTGGTCTCTACTAGCTTGGTCAAGCTTTGGGTCTGGTCCTAAGACGACCAGAAGTGTATTTCACCTGGTATGTAGCAACTGATAATCTGCAGGCTCGAATAAATAAATAAAAAATAAATATATAAATTGCCCACCTTTTGCTGTGCACGGGTCTGGAGAAACAAACCTTTTCTGGGGCTCCTGAGTGGCAAGGCGTAAGGCTACACTCAGCTCAACCCCTGTTTGCTGGATGATCCCCCCTCACATGCCCGAGGGAACAGAATTATTTCACCCGCGCCTGCAATTTGAACTGCTTTTCTCCATCAGTGCAGGGGTGCAGCCCTGAGCACTGCAGTCCTCCTTTCACAGGGGTATACACCTCCTTTGGAAACACTGATGCCTCTGGAAATGGTGGGGCATCTAGCCTTTGGGAGCCAGCCCAGCCCACAGGGAAACTTGTGATGTCTGGTGGGAGGATAATGAGACGCTCTGAGTGAATGAGCTTGAGGGGGGGAAGGCTGTGAATGTGCATCCCTCTTTCCCCTTCAGCTTCACTGTCAGACCCATTTGCAGCGGTATGAGTGGCATTAGGATTGCCCCGAGGTTTAAAAAAGAAATGAGTAAATGCACGTAAGAAGCCACGGTTCAGAGCATTGTAGTTTCCCCTCTTCCCAGGCAGAGTCCCCCTCTTGTCAAGTGAGGACAAGTGAGGGATTTTTCAGTCCATGGTGATACTCAATTAGCTATTTGGAGGCTGATGGAAAGTGTTTTTGAGACACTGCAGAGCATTTTGAGCCTGTTCAGGAATTCTGAATCCAAGGTGTTTTCCTCCAGCTGGAGATATCTGTATATAGCCCAAATCACCTTGAGTCATTACAAGGCTGGAAACCTTGTATAGGGGTATGCCAAGCCAGTACAGCCTCTCCTTTGTTCATGGAGAAGCATTTATTTTATAAAAAAATAAATATAAAAGGGGTACAGGACTGAGAGGCTTTGGCTTTTATTTGCCACTTAAAACCTGCTTGCCCTCTAAGTGGGACTTGAGTGTGGTTTTGTGCCTCATGCAGGTTCTGTGTGAACTGTGCCCATTAAAAACTCCTGTAAATGGATAAATACTTGTTCTACAGTTTCCCTTAACTCTGAAAGCACTCAGAGCTTGTTCAGAGCTGCTATTATTTATAATAAACTGATTGTTTTCACTGTGATTTTTATTTTCTCTGGTTCTGTCCCCTTATTTCCTGTAAATACAGCATAAACTGTTGTATTAACAAACTGGTCTTTCTCAAATCGCCTGGTTAGCATTTGGCCAATATCCACCTGCTGCGGGTTTCACAAGAGCCCACAGAAGGAATTGAAAGTTTAAATGATTTTCCCATGGATTTACCCTTCAGGCTGAATTGTTTTGCTACCGGTACGGAATTTGTGGCCACGGTACTGGTAGGCAGTATTAGAACAGTTAGAATAAGCTTTTCAATCAGATCATCTTCTCCATTTGAAAGCAGGTGGTGGAATCTGTTGCTTTTACAAGTTTCCTATCATGTCAATTACGTTCTTCAAAGGGTGTCACTGGTTTTGTCACTTTTTTAAAAACACATTTCCTATCTAAAATTAGAGCTGTGCCTTGAAGTTTTGTGGATCTATCATATCTTCAGATTAGATCTGAGAGGAACCTTCTTGAACTCCCTGGTACATTTTCACTGCAGGTGAAACAGGTCTTACTGAAATCCCCTTTATATTTGTCCTACAGCTCCTCCCTCATCAGGTATTTTTCATGAAACACTCCTATATTTTATTGCTGCTGAAGCAGGAGAGGTCTTGCCTAATTACCTGCGTAACAGAGAACTAGAAAACCTCAAAGTGGCAGGACTCTTGAGCTCACATAGGCTTTGGAGACCTGTGGACCATTTTGGCTCAGCTTCATCTGAATTCAGTCTGGGTTTGGGTTTCCTTGGGTAGGTTTGCCAAGTTCCCAATCACTGTTCTGTTTCTTGCAGCTGCAGTGCTTTCTTGTGCTCGGTGTTTCACCAGGCTGTCTTTGGTTTTGCAGGTAGCTGTATCCAGCTGGGTGGCAGGTGGATCCAAGGGTTACCATGAAGTTTTCAGGACCCCTGGAGAGCCAGAGGTTGTCTCTCCTTCTGGAGACGGCAATCTCTAGGGAAGCTCAAATGTGGAAAGCACATGTGCCGAAAATTCAGCCCTATCAGGTAATGTCTCTTTTTCACATCATCCATCTTAGTAAAGGCATGAGACCATCCTCTGGTGTATTTTTATGTGAACAGCTGAAGCTCTTGCATGAGAAGTCACCTTCTGCTTGAGACCTAGGAAATGAGGCTCTGAAGTAAGCAGTTACTTTCGTATTTCAGGGACATGCCTGCAGTCAGGGGTACAGAACACACACCATACAGTGTTCGATCTCTGCTGTTGCTTGTGAAAGCATGTACATACATTGTCTTAATTAAACTCATTTTACAAATTGTGTGGATAATTAGCGTACATCTCAAGTGGGCACCAACTCCGCAACAGTTCTTAAAAGCAGCTTCATTTTCTTGGACTAAGTTCACTAATAACCTCAAAACTCCACAGAGTTTTGTTCAAAATGAAATGTAAAATGTGAGGTTGGCTGTCACAGTTTCTGCTACTTGGGTGCTGGGCTGGGCAGAAATCACCACACTGATGGACTCAGAACCAGCCTTGCTGTTCTTGATTCATATAAAGTGTTCACACAAGCCTGTCAGCTGTTTTCAAAGCTAATCAGTGTGGTGGGTGTGTTTGCTGTCTGGCAAAAGAGAAATTGTTGTTGTACAGGAACAGATATGTTTTTAAGGGGCTCAATATTGGTTTTGTTAACCCACATTTAGGTTTACAAGTAAATGACCTCGTTGTCAGAGGTGTTGAGTATGTTGTGGCTGTGGCTGACTTGAGGCACATGCAATTTGAGACCCTGGTTTATGATAAACCAGCCTGTTATTCCACGCTGGCTTAGTGATTATAACGTAGGGAGATAGGATTACAGTATAAAAAGATAGGTTAGGGACTCAAAGTGCGTAACCAAACCAGAATCTATTGCGAGGACTTCACAGAGACAAGGAGCTTGCAGTTTTGCCTTGGTGAGGTGGATTTTGGTGGCTTGGAAACCACCACCTGCTTTAGGCAGCCTTCCCAGGAATCCCTCCCTTGCCCTTTGAAGATAAGGTTCCCCACCTGTGCCACGTTCAGGTTGTCACTGCAGAAGAAGGACCCTTCACTGTGTCTGTGGTGAAAGGCAGTTGTCCCTTGAGGGGATCTCAGTGTCACTGTGGCTGAGGTTTTCAGTGCCTCATGAAGTGGTGTCCTCAGTGGTAAACACTCAGAGAAATTAACAGAACTTCTGGTGGTCTGCTGAGTGAAACCAGGAAGGCAACTGTGGCCTGCTGTGGTAAGTCAGAGTAGGATCAAGTATGGAAACAGCCTCATGGCTAAAGCCAGTGTAAAGTTCGTGCTTGACAGCAGAGTCTCGGGTCTGGCCTGGCTAAATAGCAGGTTTGTCCTCGTAGTGTTCAGTTACATCGTGATGATGAAGGATCTCTTCTTCCCCTCCTCCCCTGCACTTTGACAATACCGCTGAGGTCTGTCACTTGGGAGTGTTCCCTGTCTCCAAGGGTTTCTACTCCTGGAATTCCCACCCCCAAAACTGTTGGCTTTGTAACCTTTTTCTTTATGTTTTCCTACATTCAGACATTGACTTTATCAGCTAGAATGCCATACTATTAAACATCTAGCAGGAAATAATCATTAAATTGGATTGAAATGAGTAACATGTGTGAAGGTCAGATTTAAAAGAGAACATAAACACAGCTGTGTGCTCTGGGGAGATCCTGGCTCTCCATGCCGTTGTGCATCTGTAGTTACGTATTTCCCTCTGTGCCTCCATTCGTGACACCCAACTTTTCCAGCTGTGTTCCCCCACTTCCACAGTGCTCGTTTTGGCAGTGTGGCAGTCATGGATGTTTAGTGGATTATCCCATTTGCTGTGATATTCCTCATCATCTACTGCCTCCTTCTGCAAACAGCTGCAGTAGCCTAAAACCTCACTTGTATGAAACTGTTGTTTATTTCCTGTGACAGTCAGGAAATCTGCATCCTTCTGTGTATCGGATCTGGCAGCCCAAAGCACGTGTAACTTTCCATTCCTTGCTACAAAGGTAGACTGACCGCAGAAAGAGTTTTAATCAAGTCATCTGGTTTGCAAATGAGAAAATGGGAGTGTGGCTACAAAAGTCTAATGCTCAGATTGGAGGTACCGCTGTAACTAGTTTTCAGGAGTAAACTTTAAGTTTTGATTCTGGGAGTAATTTTTGGTTCTAATGTTTAAAACTGAAACAAATTCAGTTTCTAAATATCCATCAGAGTTGAAATCTTTGAAAGGAAGAAAGAAACTCATAGTTACAGAAAGAGGAAGACTTTACATTTTTAGTACAGGATACAGAATCTGTTGGGGATGTTTGCCCTGATAATGTGATGTATGTGATGTTTCTGTTTCATTTTACTTTTTGTCTGGTAACTCCCATTTCCTACTGACATATATATTTCTTTTAGTTTTTCTCCTTTAAATGTAGGCCACTGGCTCTGGGTGTTTGCAGTATATCAAAGCCAGATCTCACAAAGGCTTTTCAGTCTGAAATAATAGGTAGGCTGAGTCTAGAACCCTCCCAGGACTGCTGAATGTATTTGGTCTTTATTTTTTCCTTCTATTTTCTTCCCCCTCTTTGGTTATACAGTATCCAGGTGACATTCAGAAGCCTTCATGTGACTAAGGCTTGAGAAAGCAAGCAGTAAATACTGGTCAAAGTTTGAATCTTGCATGTTACCAAATAACTTTGCAGCAGACGTGTGTAAACCAAGGGGTTTGCTTCTATTTTCTTACAGAAACAGAGTGTTGCTTGTGTTGTCTCTCCTTCCTTGCCTGTTCTGGCTCTCTGTGTCTTCTCATTGGTTCTCTGTACCTTTTGAGGAACCAGGAGACCTCAGTTTATTTCCAGTTCTTCCACTGGAAGACCCTGTGTTGGTCTTTTAACCTTCTGGTGCCCGTTTTATCCTGTGGGTGGATCGGGGACTGACTTCCCAGTTCTGTACAACGTTGTGAAGTGAATACACCCAGCTCTTCTGCTTTTTCATGCAGTCATCTGTCTCCCCACAAGCCTTCCAGCCTGATAGAGGTCACCCTTGGAGCCCACAGTAGGACTAGGCAGAAACAAATAAGGGAGAGAGGGACAGCAGACAGTAAAGGAAAAAAGATTACCAGGCAAGGTGTTTTTCCTAGATTAGGCAGCAATAAAATTGAATCAAGATTGAGTTCACAGATAATATTTTTTCTAGCCTGCACTTTCTAAAAGTCTCAAGGTTGAGTCTCCTAACAAGTGGAGGTGCTTGTGTTCTCTGCAGGTGGAAGACAGGAACAGAGCTGGGAAACCTCTTCTGTTATTCTATGGAGGTGCCAAGCAGGACTAAGCAGGGTGGAGAGGAAGAAAGGAGCAGCAGTTGCTGGGCTTGGGTTAATTTTCCCTAATTAAAGCTGTCATGCTAAGCTAAGTGCACTCTGCCACCCCAGGGGTTAAGTTCCGCTAAGGTGGATTTGACGTGACAGAGCAAAAGAGCTGACCGCAGGCAGACAGGAAGGAGGCAGACAGGAAGGTACCTCCACGCCACAGGGGAATTTCTGCCTTCCAGCCCAAAGGGACTTTCTTGCTTTCAGCCACTGTGGTGTCTCGGTTTTGCTTTCAATTTTATATAACTAAAGAACAATGACCTCACTGTTTCATTAATTGTATAGTGCTGCATTTCTTACTTGTGTTGCTGGGATGATTTAAGAAGCCAGATTTTATTTTGAAGCCATACACCTAGCTGTGAGTTCACTTTGCAGTTAGAGGAACATGGTGTTCTGTGTGGGGGCTCGTTTTGTTTTGATTTCCTATTTTGCTTAGACACACTGTTGTTTTTCAGTGGTTTAGATTAAACACTATTTCTTCATCACATGGAAGGGACAGTTGTTACCAGGGCCTGAGTGTGCCATTGCTAGTCTTTACGTTATGGCCTTGCCATTTCAAGTTACCTCCCGAGTCTGAAACTCTGCCCGTGAAGGGTGAGAATATAGAAGGACAGATCTTGGGAGGACTCAAGGCAGCACAGAAAGATAATCTCACCCTTCCTGCCCATGCTGTTTTTAGGAGAAGGTCTAACCTTTTGCTTTGGCAGGCACAGGGTAAGTAGCGTTGAGCCAGGACAGACCCTGCAGGGTCTGTCATGCCCATTTCTGCTGGGATCTGGCAGCAATGGAAGGGGATGGGAAAAATACCCCTGCCACAAGCTGGTGATTTAAGAGCCAGAGGCAGGTTTTTTAAGGTCAAATTTATTCTGAGTGATGGGCTGGGTTCAGGTTGGCTTTTAGCAGGTACTGGATTCCCCCAGATACTGCTATCCCAAAATAATCCTTTAAGCTGCTTGAAACCTTTTTAAGTCCACATTGTCCAAACCTAGGTGGGGTTATCAGCCCTTTAGTATGGCTTTGTCTCCTGTTTAAAAATGGGTGCAATGAACCAGAGCAACAAGGAACTTCATCTTAACTACCACCCCTCCTTTCTCTGCCCATTTTCTGTTCAGCTGCACTGGCCTCACGTTGCCACAGGAGAAGCATGGACAGGATTTCACACAGCATTGCCTGTTTTTCCTCCACTGACACATTCCAGGTCCCTGTCCCATGGTTTAGGAGATGTTCTTAGCAGAGCATTTAATAAATCCCTTGCTGCCACGTGGTGCATTCATTATACTCCCAGCGTATGCTGAGCTAGCATTTTGGGAATGAGTGTGATGTCTGCAGACGGTGGGTGTCCTGCTCCTAGGGGGGCCTCACATTTCACCCTTACATTGCAATAATAACTTTAGAAAGAATCATTATTTCTTGGAATTGAAGAAACTCAAACCAGATACAGTCAGGCATTCAGAAGGAAAAAGGCGGCAGGATTTTGTTCCCCACTGCCGCAGAGCCCAGAACTCGGCCCTGTGCTTAAGCCCTGCCACAGTCCACCTCTTTCAATCCCACATAGTGGTGCTCAGCACCACTAAGGAAGCTGAGCACAGAGCAGAGATGCCACATTGTGAGTAACAACCAAAGGCATGAAGCTGGTGTCCTCGCAGAGGCCTGACTGTGATGACAGTTCTGCTTACAACGCTCTGCTTGCATGTGTGTTCTTGGCTCCAGGGCAGTAGATGTGTGGCAAAGCCTGTTACTGTCTGTGGAAGGCCCATGGTAGGTACTTTGGTGATGGGTGTAGCCTGAAGTACTCATTTTGCCTCAGTATTGGGTGGTTTTATTTTCTATAATTCTGCTCTTTCCCCCACTCCATGTTATTGCTGGGATAATAGCTGCGGCCCAGCCTGGCAGCGATGGGTGTTTGTGCAAGCCCTCACCTTGCTTTTCCACAGTAACTGCTCATTCCGTTTCTTTCTCTCAAACCCATCTCAGCAGTAGCCAAAAGAGCACAGGACCCCAAGCATGGCAGAAGAAATCTGTTTGGTTTCACCACTCACTTCTGGACACATCCCTGCTAATCAGCCCAGTTATTCCCCATAGAAGTGAGACCAGACATTTGCTTGGTTGAAGGGAAAGGGTCTTCTAAAGCTGTAAATATTTCTTTAGGAAGTCAGAGAGAAAGATTTTATGCCAGTATGTATGTGTCGTTGAAATTCGGCTATTGTGCGAACAGGTAAATGGTAAGCCAAAAAGTTATGAAAAACCTAACCAAACTCAAACCCCAGTGCAAACATTTTGAGGTGAAATTGTACATGCTTTGCAAACCCAGGGCACAGTTAACTGTACTGCAGAAGATCTTTTGGAAGCTGTTTGGAATTTTCTACTTTTAACATACACTGAGCTAAAAATATACCTGCAATGCGAAGGAAAAATAAATCTTTCTTCCCAAAACACAAGCTTGGTCCCTCCCCTCTTGTGTACGTCAGGAGCTGGCTCCTCCAGCACATCTGGGTTTGCTCAAGCCAGTCATATCCCTGTATCAACATGGTCCTAAGGACACTAAAAATAATAAAGAACAAATCTCTTTGTGCTAAGCTGGAGAATACTGGGCCAGTGCTGGAGAAACTACAAGACATCCTTCCTATTCTCTCCAGCATACATGGAAATTTCTGAGTGATGCAAGGAAAGTTGTCTTTTCCAGCGCAAGATTGCTTGGAATGGGGGAAATAACTGCAAGCACAAAGTGGTGATTCAGACTGGCTCACCCCCCACTTCCCAAAGGAGCCTTTGGAAAACTTCTGTGGAGGTATAAAACATTTGGTCTTTTCTGACTTGCTGAGCCTGCGTGTAAGAATGGTTTGTTTTTCTCTCCAGCAGGATGTAGCCATTTCTCCAAAGCAGAGGGATGAGGTAATTCAGTGGCTGGCCAAGCTCAAATACCAGTTCCACCTTTATCCAGAAACGCTCGCCCTGGCCATCAGCCTTTTGGACAGGTTTTTAGCTGCAGTAAAGGTAAATATTGCAGATATTTACATAAACTGGAACAGATTTATACCACCCACTCAGCTATTTCTGTGTTCAGTCCTTTTGGTGTGGCTGTACGGAAATGCTCACTTCCCCCTCTGCCCTCACACCCTTTTCCCTTCTCACACATGTGTAGGATGATACCTGCACTGCTTCAGGAGCTTAATGTCAGGTTGTGGAACTGGCAGCACACGCTGCCACTTGAAGCTTTTGGAGGAAGATGCTTCCCATAGTCATTTTTCACCTCATGAAAGCAGCCATTGCTTCAGTGAGAACATGCAGTGCTCAGGGGTCTGACACAGTGCTTTCCACCTGCCAAGAATATTTTCCCTCTTCAGGCACTCTGTTAGGCCTATTTCCTTCATGTAATGCAGCTCATTAGTTTAAATGCACATTAACCCAAGAGAAAAGCAGCACCATTCCTCCTCAAGTACGCACTCACTCAAACCCGTTTGAATGTTGAGTTCAGCACCTTACGACTTCCTTTAAGCCATCAGAAAAAGAGGCTGCATAGCGGTTACGGTTTAGATGAAAAGAGAATGGCTTCTACCTTAACCTAAATTGACTCATAAAGCTAAAGGAAATGCCTGCAATTAGAAACCCAGGCCCAGTGCCCTCTGACAGAGAAATCAGGGGAAGTCCCCGCTCACCTCTTAACTCCTCTGGTGTTTTAACTGCATTTCATCTCATACGTAGCACCCAGAATTGATGGGAGCACCTACTAGTGGTGAACTGCCTGGAGGAAAAAAAGAAATGCATGAGGACAGGCCTGGGCCTGGCAAGTGTGCTAGCGCTGGGGAAGGAAGTTAAAAACATCAAAAAATGGGGGAAGCAGATTCTGCCAGAGGGGGCTGCTTTTTGGGGGAGTTGTTCACTACTGACCTGCTCTAATAGCCAGCTGGACAGACTAACAGCTTAAGGCTTGATGTCAACTCAAGAGATATGAAGGAGAAAAAGAGGTGAGCAAGCATGGGTGCAGGCCATCAAAGTGATAGACTGTCACTCCTGCTGGGAATGAAGAATGTATATGCCTGTTTGGGTTTAAGGCTGCTACACCATAGAAACTGTTAAAGAAAGACAAGTTAAAATCAGTGTTTTGGCTATTTGCAGCTGGGATCTGCTGCTCTCCTGTCTCTTCAAGTCCACCATGGAAGTGGGTTAGATGTGGTGAGCTGGGGCCGTTTCATGTGCATGCAAGTGACCGAACAAATGGGGTTGACCAAGAATCCCCAACCTCGAGTTGTCAAAGTCAGGCTTTGGGTTACCTTACCTCTTACCACATTTGCTCAGTTATGTCCCATGCCAATCTGTAGTCTCACCTGTGTGTCTCTAGTCTCATCATCAGCACTGTCAGGTAAGCAGTAGAGTTCAGGAGGTCTCAGCAGCAGCAGGTTTTCTCAGCCTGTGCACTTACATTGCAGCGTGTCTTAGTTTGGTGGAACACAAGTGACATCATCCATCAGCCTACCCTTTAAATACTAATAAATACTGATGTTTTAGTCGCAAGCCATGGAAATTTTTATTTTTAAGGAGATATTAAAGTAGCTGATTTACTGAAAGGCTGAGATGGGAAATAGATTTAAATCCCTCAACATCCAGTGCCCTCGAGTAGAGTTTTTTCAGTACTCTGCAAGAGCGAAGGGATCACAAAGATTGAGAACATGAGCAGGGAGTCCACTGGGTGCTTCAGGCAGCAAGCAGCACTGGAGTAAGGTGTTCTGTCTGGGTGAGCATTGTTCAAACAGCTCAGGGTTTGGTTCTCCCTCCCTGTTTTCTTCTCTCATAAAGCTGCCATTCCTCTGACGCCATTTAACTCCTGGGTTTTTTACCAGTTACTACCATGTGGGATTTTATTGAGAAAACCAGTCTGCCCTTCACTGTGAATACGGTTTGAAATAGCTCAAGTTAGCTACCCCTAAGGCACTCCTGCACAACATTCCTTAACCCTCAGAGAAGGAGAATTTATTCTCCTTGCTTTCAGTGACACCTGGATCCACAAACAGATGTGTGGATTCTTTGTGTGTTTTTAAGTTTAAATAACACTGGAAAGCCAAAGCTGTAGGCACAGCATGGTCCTTTTTAAGTAACTGAGGCTGAATGTAGGTAAAGATGTTCAGCTTGGACACCATCCCATGTTCTACCATTGCTTTCTGGAAACACTGTTCTGGACTTCTTGACAGCTCATTGCATGAGTGTAACATGCAGTATCTCACGCGTCAACCACCGCACAGCTCTGCTGCATCTGCTGAAATTTACCAAGCAGGAGTAAGTCATGGCAACAGGTCAGGCACCAAGCAGATGTTCACATTAAGTGCAGGATTTTCACTTACCTTTGCTTTCAGCATCTCCTAACGTGGGCAGGAGAGGAAGAGTTGCCCGCGGGCTGTTGGGTGCAGAGGCCATGTGGCTGGTCCGTCACAGCTACTGGCTGAACACCTCCAGCCGGTGTGTCATGTGTCCCACCTCACCCCCAGCCAAGGCCTGGAAAAGGAGTTTTGATGCCCCTCCAAATTTCACTTACCTTGCCTAAAACAACTCCCTGTACAAAAGACCATCTGTCCCAGTAATCCCTGTGCCACAGTTTTGATAATTGCCATATGAAATTACCCAAGTGGTGATTTTTATGGGTGTTTTATACTTCCCTAGGCAAGGACAGTGGCTTTAATTCTCTTCTCTTTTCTTCCTTCCCATTCTGTGCCTGACCCCCTGGCAGCACTAACAGCAGAGCTCTGCTGAAGCTTTTTTGTAAGCGACAGTCTGGCCCTTCTGATTCTCTCCTTCTATTTCTCACTCAAAGCGAGCCCTTTCCACTCCAGCGCTGCACATCAGTAGGTGCCAATTACCATGATGGGGCCAGCAAATTGCTGTTCCTTACGTCATGGAGCATGGATTGTTGCTGGAGGTGCTGTAGCTGGAGGTCAGCCTACTGATCGAGGATTCGCTGCATGGGCAGCCAGACCCTGGGTCTCAGGTTGTCCCACCAGAAGGGGTTACGTGTAATATTCGCATCACACTCACAACTTCTCTGCTGTTCTGTACTGTAGGCCCGTCCGAAGTACTTGAACTGTATTGCAATCAGCTGCTTCTTTCTCGCTGCAAAGACCATTGAGGAAGATGAGGTAATTTTTCTGTTCTTATTATCCTTAGTATTGTCTGAATACATGCTCCTCCAGGCCTGCCTTTGCTTGCACACGGTGCCTGGCGCTTGCCAGGATAGGAACAAAGCATTTTGTGTGATTTCTGTAATGAGTGGTTGTCTCGCTTCTTCCTTTGCATTGGCTTTTGCAGAGGATTCCAGTACTGAAGGTTTTGGCTCGGGATAGCTTTTGTGGTTGTTCTCCAGCTGAAATTCGCAGAATGGAGAAGATTATCCTGGATAAACTGAACTGGGATCTTCACATGGCAACGCCACTGGATTTCCTTCATATTGTAAGTAAGGGGCTATTTACATTCATTCTGGTGTTGATTCAGGAGGAACCTCAACAAAAACAGAGCACAGATCTCAGGATGTATTCAGAATTCTTCCATACAAGTAGTTTCTGACAGAAAAAGCCTTGCCAGAGAATTCCAGAAGAGACTTTTAACACTTTGTGTGCCATTTCCAAAGCGCAGGCCTGCCATCTGACCACCTGGCCTATTTTAAAGCATGTTAAGCCACACACCAGGACTCACAGTTTCTGAAAACTTTGCACCTAAGTCTTAACTGCTAATGGCTTTTCTCAAAGCTAAACGCTAGGCAGCAGCAACATGAAAGCCCTGAGCGCAACCATGGAGGAAGCACGTATGCTGGGCAGTGGGTGCACTCTGTACCTGCTGCTGAAAGGCACTGCCAGGGAACCAGGTTCATGGATGAGACAAGACAAAGGCAAGGAAAGTGTCCTCAGGTTCTCAGTTGAATTTCTTTCTCTCTGCTTGCTTGAGAAGGAGTTTTTTCTAGGACACCTGAAGTGCCAAACCTGTGTAGTCAGAGAAGGGTGGAAGGGGAGAAGGGTGGAAGGGTGTGCTCCTTGCAGAGCCCTGGAAAGCCAGGAGCTCCAGGCAGATGGTGTGTGTGATGGCAGGCCCCAACCAGAGAGGCTGCACCAAGCTCTTGATGGGTTCAGCACATCGGTGTATTTTCTATGGTGTGGAAATGGCCTTGACGGTTAAGCTGGAGGATCCTTGTGTGTCCAAAACATGTCGCATGTGGCTCGCGAGATCTGCCCCGGCTTGGCCTGTGGGGTCGCCTGTTGGTAACACCAGCTGCCTCACATGCTTGTTTCCCCTCTCAGTTCCACGCAGTTGTGGTGTCCAACAGGCCTCAGCTACTGACCATCCTGCCCAAGCTGAGTCCCTCTCAGCACGTGGCGGCGCTCACCAAGCAGCTGCTGCACTGCATGGCCTGTTACCAGCTGCTGCAGTTCAAGGGCTCTATGCTGGCACTCGCCATTGTCAGCCTGGAGCTGGAGAAGCTGCTCCCCGACTGGCTGGCTCTCATCATCGAGCTGCTCCAGAAAGCACAGGTGAGGGGGTGCTGGCACCGCATGTCACAGCGGGGAGGGACCGGGTACTGTGCCTGGCTCAGAACTCCAGGGATCCAGCCAGCAGGGCTTTTGGATCCCTCACTGCCCATCTCTGCCTGCTTCAGCAAGGATAGTTGTGCTTCAGCCTGAAGGGCTTGTTGGGATAGTTCCACAAAGTCCTAATCTTGACTGCATCCAGTTGGTGACAAAGGGAGGAGCTGCATGCCCTGATGTATATGGGCGCTCTCTGCACCAGGGAGCAAATAACACACTGGGGAGAAAATCCTAGTTAACCCAGCTTAGTTCATTCTAAGCATGTGTGGTGGTCCAACAAGTACTGGAAAGATAAAAGTTGCTAAAAATATGCAGTGAAACCTTTTAATATCTGAAAGGTTCCCCCACACACTGTTCCCATGAGGTTTAGGCAGGAGTGGGAGTTGATCTTATAAAGTCATCATGTTGGGGGTCTTTACGGTCCTCTACTACTTACTTTCACCTGCAGCCAGTGTATTGAGAAGTGAGGTGCAGGGGTGGGCAGTGTGCTCCAAGCCTGAGCTCTGCCCTGGGTGACAGCCTTCCCTCTCCATAGCAGTGATCCTGCAATGCTGGTTCCTTTGTTGTCTTTCCTCTCCAGATGGATAGCTCGCAGCTGATCCACTGCCGGGAGCTCGTGGCACATCACCTTTCCACCCTGCAGTCTTCTCTGATGCCCAATCCTGTATATGTCTACAGTCCCCTACAGCATACCCTGGTGACCTGTAATAGAGGAGTGTTCCAATGCCAGCCGTCCTCTGTCCCAGGGCCAGGTTTCTCCAAGGACAACGGCAGACCAGAAGTGCCAGTCAAAGGTACAGCTGTGCTCTACCAGCGTCTGTCAGCTCCCAGCAGCTGCAAACAAGCCTCTGCCAAGCGTAAAGTGGAAGAGATGGAAGTGGACGATTTCTATGATGGCATCAAGCGGCTCTACAATGAAGATGTTGCTCCGGACGTAGTGGCTCTGGAAAACATGGGCTCTGTTTGTGGCGCTGATGTTTCAAGGCAGGAGGGCAACGTTTCCCCTTGTCCACCTTTACAGGCAGTGTCTGTGATGTAGCTGGAAGCGCACACCACCCGCTCCACCACAGAAGAGTGCAGACCTGGCCTCCTGTCTGCTCGGCGGGAGGAGAAGGGGCCGTACCTTCTCAGGCTGGACTGAAGGGAGCCAAAAAACCCAGAAAAAAAAAAATCCTAACCCTTTTCTGATTTTTTTTCCTAGTGCGGCTAATTATAGTTCAACTATTCAAGCACTTAAAAACACAAAAAAGAATAAAAAATCTAAAAAAAGACCCAAAAACCAAACAAAAAAAGTAGAGAAAATTGTTCCTTTCTAGTGTTGTCAGTTCCACTGTTCTTCTGCTCCTGTATCCTGTAACCCATTCCCCACGTCCCAGAGCTCCCATCACTCCTGCAGAGCTGATCTGTTTTCCCAGCCAACTTAACACCTCTCTGGTCCATTTTCCATCTGCTCCTCGCTCTTCTTGCTTGCTCCTCCTTTAATTCTCAGCCAGTTTTGTGCATAATGTTCTGTACCACCTGACCTCCACATCACCCCTCCTTTTCCTTTCTAAAGAAAAAGACCCCTCTTGTTTTGCTAGCACTCTGGTGTTCAAATGTGACTAAAATGTTTTAAAACTGGATTTCAACTAAAGGTTAGTCAGGAACAAGAGAAAACACGTGCAGGCTGCTCCATACTTCAGGAATAATCCCAGGAGTGTGAAGAGCACTAGGGCAGCCAGCCACAGGGCTCTGTGCCTTGCACAGGGACTTCAGCATTTTCCAACACAGAAAGCAGTTAATGGCGTTTGCATCACTTGAACAAAACCGGTATTTCCCCCTTGTTTGCACCAAGGAACCTTGTGTTCTGTGTGGATTTTCACTCTCTGCATCAAGCATCAGCCTTTAATTGGTGTGTGACCAGCCGTGCTGGGTGAGGTGCCGGGGCAGTTCCATACACCCCACGTCTGAAAGATGCATCATTACCAGCCACAAACCCAAAAGCAGCGACCCTTAGCCTCAAGTTTTGTGTTCGTGTAACTTCTAACCAAGAGTACAACCTTTAAAATTATGTCTCTTCAATGTTACACCTCTGTTTCTGAGAATGACCCATCCCAATTGTAAGCTCTCTCCACAGCCCTGAGGAAGGTATTGTATCTGGAGCCATCGTACTGATGAAAGCCTTCTGGTAGCAATAAAGTAAGTTGTCCTGGATTCCAAGTCTGGTTGTGTGATTTTCACCCGTGTCGGGGACCAGTTTTACCTGGAGGCTGGAAAGGAGCTGCACAATGCCAGACCTGTGCCAGAGTGGGTTGGTGGGGTACAGACCGAATTCCTGCTCTTCTGGAAGCTCATTGATGACAGAAGGGATTAGATTCTGTCATTTTACACTTCCTTGCTGGCTTTGGTCCCGTGCACTCCAGGAGTCGGCCCCTCTTGCCACCTATCTCCTGAAGTGCACCATCCTTTTTATGGTGCACAGCCCCCCCCGTGAGCAGCTTCCCTTGGGTTTCGGCTCTCTTCCTACCTGCATCCTGGAAACCACCTCCCAGGGCCACACTTCCCAGGGGGGTATGCACCTTCCTCCCTCTCTCCAGCCCTACCCATCCTCCCTATGGTATTACCACTCCCTGACCTTTTCCGGCAGTCTCAGGGCTTCACCCAGCACAACCCTAAGCCTCATCTGCCATTGGGTCTATGCCTCCCACAGGTTCCTCCCTCCCAGTTTAAAGGACACATTCCCCCTACCCCATATTCACCAGTATCAGCACACAGGCTCTCTCATGAGCATCACAGCCCAAACCCTTCTGCAGACACGCACAGGGAGAAAGGTTGGCACAGGGCTGGGAAAAGGAAGGTGTTGGCTTGTGCCAGCTGGCAGGGGCCTAGCTGGAACAGAAGGGAGGGAAGCTGGTCCCAAAGAGAAAGGAGTGCTGCAGGAGCAGCTCTTCCTTAACAGATGTGTCACTTTGGGAGAACGTAAGGCTTTCCTTCTCACCATTTTCTTCTCCCAAAATGCAGTAACTTTGGGGAAAAGCAACAACTTCGCTGTTTGCAGCAAAGGGGCAGGAGATCCTCTCTAGTGAGAAGCAGCTTGTGAGAGTCACAAAGCTCATTTTACAGTATCATCAGCTGCCGTCAGAAATGCACTTGATAAACAGTGTTATTTCTGGCTCTCTCAGTGCTAAGTACGGTGCTGGGATGGGTCACTGCATGGAAGCCTTCCCACCCTCCCCGGGCTGGGCAGGGCTGGCAAAGACCTCACAAGGTTGGATTCAAAACCCACCTTTGCTGCCAAGCGGCTTTCACGCTCCGGAGTCCCAGACACACACAGGCACCCCCGAGACCCAGCAGACCGCAGAGGGAGGCAGGCGCCTCTTCATTTTGTTGGCACGATGGACACAGGCAACTCCACCAACAAAAAACAAGGTTCAGTCAGACAAAACCTGTCCCCTGCTTGGTGAACCCACCTCTGCAGGGACCTGCTGTCCTCACATAGGCCCTAGAATGCTTGTAGGCCAGCTCCCTGGCTGTGTTGCCCAGGCCAGGGCTGGCACACAGGCCTCCACAGGGGACCACAGCAACATCTCAAGTGGTCTTCAGCCTTGCAGCTCTCCTGCTGCTGATGCTGCGGCCACCCGTGTCCCAGGCCAGCTGGGGCAGTGATGAGCCCAGGGAACACAGGTCTGGTGTGCAGGTTTGCAGTGTTTTGCAGCTAAAAAAGTGATGTTCAAAGACTGACCTGCCTTTGAAAATGAGGCACATCCCAGCAAGATCAGCTCCCCCATGTAGCGAGGTCCAGCAGATTTGAAAATAACCTGCATTGCCAGAGAGGAAAAATGTTTCCCACTTCCCATGTTCCCTTCCTACAAAAAACTCCAGGGAATGATGCAGCCCATTAACTTCCCCACCCATTGCCTGAACACAGTACTGTGACCATCCTGCAGCACTGGCAGGGCTCCCTGCTACCCACAGGGGAATATCCCAATGCCCAGGACTCCTCACATTCATGTGGCCTTCCCACAAGCTTCGTAGCACCCCAGTGCTTCACACCATGGACCTGCCAGCGATGCTGAGCACAGGATCTGCCCTCTGTAAGGCGCAGGTCAAGTGAATGGCTGGCCAGAGGGGAAGCCAGTTTCAAACTGCAGACTCAGTTCCCTGCTGCATCGTCTCCCTCAGGAGCACTGGGATAAACCCGTTGCATTCATGAAACCAATGCTGACACGCATCAGCACAGTCCCCAAAACAGGGAGCACCTGAGTGCATGGCACTTCTAGCAATCATCCCAGCTTACCTTTACATACTGCAGAGCCGTTACTCTCTGCAACACCTCATCTTCCCTTAGCGCCCCAGGAGAGCTTGCTCTGCAGCAAACCGCATAGCAGTGACCTCTGCAATTTCTTCCACAACCCTGCCTCAGAGAGATACCAATAAATGCTCTGCTGGGGACATTTGGTGACACCGAGTGACAACCTCTCTGGGCTGTGCAACAGCAGGCTTCACACTGCTGTCCCTCCCCATGCTGACCCCGAACCATGACGGAAGTGAGTCAAAGGGCATGTCACCATCCTCATCACCGAGGTGTGGGAAAGCCTCTCAACACTCCTCAGCTCAAGCCCCTTGCTCCACACTCGCATCTCACTGCAAACACCACATGCAGCACTGCCCATACATGCTTTCTGTTCAGTATTGCTGCCTTCTCTCCCAGTATCCACCACCACCAGACTATGGAAGTAAGATGTTTTATCCTGTTTTTTTCCTCCTTAGAATATCTATGGCTTGGTTTCCAGTGGACTTACCCCACTCAAAACCAAAAAACCCAAACAACCTGGGACAACAAATTCCAGAAGTCTACTACTGGCTCTGTAAGAAACTTACTCCATGGTTTTGAGCCGATTTCCTCCTAGGCAAGTGCTCCTCTGGCTCCAGCTGTGGCGATTTGGTAACTAGCAGTTCAGCATCCACCACCCTCACAACCTGGTATCACAGAATCACGAATAACTTTGGGCTGCAAGGGACCTCTAGAGGACATCGGCTGCAACTTCCAACTCACGCAGGGCTGATCCTCCCTCTCATCTCAGCCTTTTCCTCTCCAAACAGAGGCCTCCAAGCCTCTGCAGTCTCACGGGGCAGGCTGCTACTCCATCACATTTATCCTTAGTGCCCTTCTCTAACTTCACTATGTCCTTCTGGAGACATGAAGTCCAGAGCTGCATGCAGGACTCAAGGCACCAGCACAGCAAAACTCTAGAGCTGCAAAATAAAGGCAATTGATGTAAGTGTTGGCATTTGTTTTGTGCCTATCTGCTTCTCCTTATAGAAAGCTTTAAAAAATGTCTATTGAGAGCTTAGGAGTCAACCAACAATGGAGTTTTGCCCCTCTGCAGATTTTGACATAGCAGCACTACTGGTACCCTGAGCTCTGCCACTGATGATGAACAATCTCCTCCAGCACATCCCAGCACTTGTGAAGGGCAGAAGAAACATCCTAGAAGTGGAAAAGTCTCCTTCAAAAGCTGGATGAAATCCCAGTGGATGGGAGTCAATCAGGATACTTCTTAAGCATTGCCAACCTGCAGATTCGGTCATGACTTCCTACTGCCACACACAAGGTTTCAGAGAGTCACATGGGACAGCTACATGGGTAAGAAGATGGAGTGAGTCGCATTTAGTATCCTCTCTTCAGGTACAGGATAAAAACAAACCACCAACAACCTACTTTTTTTCTTCTTTCTTGCAGTAAATGATGCCCAGCCACCCATAACTGAGCCTGGGTCCCAAACCAGTCATCAGTACAACATGGGTGACCTGACATGAGGCAGAACGCAGCAGAGTAGCTCTGTGCTCATCCATGATCATGATCTAAATAACAAGTGAGTATTTCAAGAGAGAGGCTATAGCACAGAAGTGGGATTTTAGAGGCTAGGCTCCTACCACCATGTAAAGCCATACTACAGTTTTGAAATGGAAACAAAGGTCCAAGGCATGAGACGCACATACAGAAAGGACTCCTTCCCAAACAGGGGCTCTGGGGAGGGTCTCACCATGCAGGATGCTGCAGGAGCCATGCAGTGGGTGGTCTGGCCTCTGGGCAAGTTAACCTGCAGGGTATTGTGCAAGTTGGAGGCTACCGTGGAGGAGGTTGCACAGATGAGTCACAGCAAGGCTCTGAGCCTGGGGTGGTGGTCCCTGACCCTGCCAACACTGGAGAAAGGACACAGCACTTGTAAACCAGGCAAGAGATCTCCTCAGTAAACCCTGTCCACCTTCATGTGTGTAAGGCATTGGCCACTATGT